AGAACAGAGAGCTCCCCGCCCCAGCTTCCTCTGATGTTAACGTCCTACGCAGCCATAGTACAATGATCAAAAGGGAGAAGTTGGCATCGCTGTCAGTACCCTCACCGAACCCTCACACAGACCTGACTTAGCTCTCACCCGTCTGCCGCCCACATCTTTCTATTCCAGGAGCTAATCCAGGCCTCCTTGTGACACGTATGTCTCCTGAGCTCCCGCCAACCTCTGACAGCTCTTCAGCCCTTCCTTGTCTTCATGACCTTAACACTTTTACAGGACGCTAGTCAGGCAGTTGGTAAAATGACCTTCAGTTTAGTGTGTTTTTTTTTAAATCTAAACTGCCAATAGTGGTCTTTCTCTTAACCATATGTTTTTATTGATTTCAGAGAGAGGAAAGGAGAGGGAGCGAGAAACATCCATGTGAGAGGGAATCATCTATTGGCTGCCTCCTGCACGCCCCCCGCTGGGGATGAAGCCCACAACCCGGACATGTGCCCTGACTGGGACTCAAGTTCAGGACCATGTTCAACCAACTGAGCCACACCGGCCAGGGTGTATTGTAAATGTTTTCATTAAAGTAGAACATACCAACAGTAAGTAAACAAAATGAACTATTACCAAGTAAACACACTTGTGTGTCTGCCGTCAAGTTACAGAACATTATACTGGCACCCCTGAAAGTTCTCTTCTGCCCCTTTCCACTCACTACCTCCCCCAAAGCATGACTACTCTCACTTGGAAGAGGAGGTTCCCACAGAAGCCGACTCCAGGGTTACCAGGCAGCTGGGACCCATCCATGGGGGAGAGGAGAGAAGAGGAGGGAAGGCGAAGGGAGGGGAGAAGACGGAGTAAAGAAACGTGACTGGGCAGAGGTTGAAGCTGGGCTGAACTGCAGTCTCCACCTATCTCCACAGTGAGCTCGGACGCTAGCATGACCCTTCAGAGTTCCCCTGCGTTGGGGCGAGGGCTCCAATACCCAGCCCGGGATTCGGGGTGTCACCTGGGGCCAGGCAGCTCTCTTCAGCCGAGACACTTCCTAAGAAGCACATTTCTGAGGGGACCTCGGTGGCTCATTCCATTAGTTCGGCTTGGTTTTGAGCATCGTGTACCCGGCAGCGCACAGTATGGGTGGTGCATTGCTTCTTTCACTCACCGTCGTGCACGGGCGGTGAATCCGCGTGGTGTCCTTCCTTTTCCGTGGACCGTGGCACGCCTGCTCACCCCGCTGCAGCTGAGCCTTTGCCTGGTGTTGAGGTTTTGTCTATTGTGAACAGTGTTGCTGTGGACAGTCTTGTGCATGTCTTTGGATGGATACGTACACGCATTTCTGTTGGGTATGTACCTAGGAAAGGGTCGTAGAATAAGCATATTCAGCTTTATGAAATATCGCCAGATGTTTCCTAAATGATATAAACTTACGCTCCCACCGGCATTGTAAGAGACTGTTCGTTGCTCCAAATTCTCACAAAGATGATATTGATTGGATCTTAGCTATTCTGGGGGGTGGGGGAGGGGCAGTGGTACCCTTAGGTCCGTGGTCGGCAAACTGCGGCTCGCGAGCCACATGCGGCTCTTTGGCCCCTTGAGTGTGGCTCTTCCTAAGCCTTAGGAGTACCCTAATTAAGTTAATAACAATGTACCTACCTCTATAGTTTAAGTTTAAAATATGTGGCTCTCAAAAGAAATTTCAATCGTTGTCCTGTTGATATTTGGCTCTGTTGACTAATGAGTTTGCCGACCACTGCCTTAGTGGTTTTAATGCATTTCCCCAGTGATGTTGACCACCTTCTCATTTAAATACTCTCGTTTGTAAAGAGTCTTTGGCCATTTTTCAGTTGGGCTTTCTGTCTTTTTCTTGTTGACTTGAAGAAGTCTTTTGTATCTTCTGGATGCAGGTGCTTTGCCCGATTATAAGTATTTCCTCCCACCCCGTGGCTCACGTTTTCACTGTTATGCTTAGAGGGAAAACAATTTTAGGGACATTGACTAAATATTAACAGCAGTAGTGTTTGGATGGTGGGTTTTCCACCTGTTTACTTCCCCATATTTTCCAGTAAAAAGCAGGTAATGAAAATTTAAAACACAATAAAAGGAATGAGTTATTTAAGGAAAATGGTGTGTTTAAAATGTGATGATGTCGTTTAAAAGTGACCCATTGCAAGAAGTTAGCCAAGACAAGAACTTGGCCATAATTTGCCTTTAATGTCTCCTAGGTGACTATGCAAATTTGCTAGAGACACCTAGTGGAGACGGTTGGAAGTTTACAGGAGAGAGCATTTGCCATCTTTCTTGCTCCCCGGCATACGTCATCAGTTTGCCTCAAATAACTCCTGTAAAAATTAAAAAATAAAATTAGCCGGCCTGTGTTGCTCAGTGGTTGAGTGTCGACCTATGAACCAGTAGGTCATGGTTCGATTCCCTGTCAGGGCACATGCCCGGGTTGTAGGCTTGATCCCCAGTGGGGGTGTGCAGGAGGCAGCCGATCCATGATTTTCTCTCATCATTGAAATTTCTCTCTCTCCCTCTCCCTTTCTCTCTAAAATATATATATATATACATACATATATATATATATATATATATATATATATATATATATATATATAATGATTAAACAATTACTGGAGTATAAGGCAATTGTAAAACAGAGGGAAAATTTTTTAAATCCAGAATGATTATGCTCTCAGATTACTTTGCAAATATTTTTCTAAAGAAATGAAAGTTAGAGCTCACACGCACACTGGCGTGGGTCATGAAAGAGAATCGGTGCAGGCCTCCCTGCAGTGCACTTAAAGGCGGCCCTGGCCTCCCTGCAGAGGCCGACAGTGTGTGAGAGATGTTCACAGAGTATATCTGAGTCTCTGTTCTATCCAGCACCCCATCCTCCCCCCCACATCCCAGTAAGTTAACAAACTGCCTGTTTATATCGCACCGAAGATGACTGTTTTCACTGCATTTTATTGATAATTTACATATTCTAAAATGCTCATATGGACAAGAGCTTTTTCTTAAATTTTTACTGACTGACTTGCAAGAGGGAGACAGAGAAACGTCAGTTTGTTGTTCCAGTTATTGATGCATCCATGGGTTGGTTCTTGTCTGTGCCCTGACCTGAGCTCGAACCCGCAACCTTGGTGCACCAGGAGGATGCACCAAGGCTCTTTCCTGAGCCGCGTTCCAGTTCTCCATTCTGGGGCATATGAAGGAGCGGGACCCGTTTCTGCTCCTTCATCGTGTATTTTGTGAGGCATGAACTCAGTGACTTAAAAATCAACGTGTAAAATTAAACATTAGCCCTGACCGGTTTGGCTCAGTGGATAGAGCGTGGGCCTGCGGACTCAAGGGTCCCAGGTTCGATTCCGGTCAAGGGCATGTACCTTGATTGCGGGCACATACCCAGTAGGGAGTGTGCAGGAGGCAGCTGATCGATGTTTCTCTCTCATCGATGTTTCTAACTCTCTATCCCTCTCCCTTCCTCCCTGTAAAAAAATCAATAAAATATTTTTTTTTAAATTAAACATTAAATGGTGAGAACACACAGAGCGGGGGAAAGTAGATTTGCAGTTGTAACGCAAATAAATCAAACAATAATTAATAAATAATACAAGAATAAATTCTGTTTTGCGCACTCACAACTGTAAACCTACTTTTACCCATTCCTGTACAGAGGAAGAGTCCACAGTCAACCACAGAGCACAATTCGGGCTCTAGAAACGACAGCCCTGTCACTAAATAAATTGCTGTGTGCAACAAAGTACTGTTAGAAAGAGGTGGTTCTTTTCATTGGTTTGTGTTGTAAAAGAAAATGCTGCAGAAATCCACTTTGGCCGCCAGGGGGCGCAGGGTGGCAGGAACGGGGGCTGATGGAGGCCTGTGGCGGGCAGCTCTGCCTCCTCTCCAGGCTGGGGGAGACCAGGGCGAGTCTGGGACTGCCGTGGGGGGTGCCAGCCCACCAGGGACCGTGTGTATTTAACTGTACCTCGGTTTTGTTTTTTTAAAGATCCATGTCCATTTTTGCTTAAGAAAAGATCCCTTGTCGTTTGGGGGGTGTGGGGGGTGCTGACCAGGGCTGAGCAGAGGGCTGAGGTCACCAGGCGTGTGGCGGGTGAGCAGAGGCTGGCCTCCCACGTGCTCCAGGACCGTGCTCTGTGGTCAGATGTGTGGGGTGCAGGGTGGGGAGCACAGGCTCGGGCCCCAGGACATGGTTCCGCGGGCACTGAGGGCCCAGGAGCAGCTGGTGCTGTGTCTCCCTCTGGCTTAGAGTGTGGCACGTGCGAACACGGCAGAAACCGCTGCTCTGTCCCTTCTCTCACCTGCTGAACAGAGTGTGCAAGGGGAGGGTCAGAGAGAGAGGAGTGGGGAGAGGGAGGGTGTGTGTGTAAGAGTATTAGAGTATGTGTGTGTGTGAGTGTGTATGTGAGTGTGTGTGTGTGTGAGTGTGAGAGTGTGTATGTGAGTGTGTGTGTGTGAGTGTGTATGTGAGTGTGAGTGTGTGTGAGTGTGTGTGTGTGTGTGTGTGTGTGAGTGTGTGTGAGTGTGTGTGTGTGTGTGAGTGTGAGAGTGTGTATGTGAGTGTGTGTGTGTGAGTGTGTATGTGAGTGTGTGTGTGTGTGTGTGTGAGAGTGTGTATGTGAGTGTGAGTGTGTGTGAGAGTGTGAGTGTGTATGTGAGTGTGAGTGTGTGTGAGAGTGTGTGTGTGTGTGTGAGTGTGTGTGGAGGTGGGGAGAGGAGGCTCCAGGCTCTCATTCTATGACAGGAATGCTGTAGAAAGCACATGAACTTGGCTAAGTGATGCATCATTTCCAGGTCTGAATGCCCCCTCCCCCCGGACTCCCGGGAAGAAGGAGCCGGTGCAGCCCCCTCCTGCCCCCCGAGAGCTCGCTAGCTTGGATGTTCAGTGTCACTAGCTGGGCGGGTTCCCGCCGCCTCTTCACTCAGTGCCTGACTGACATGCTGCAGGAGCACCGACAGCACAATCCCACTGCAGGCGTTCACACGTCCACTGCTGCACGACTGTCGTTTATTTACAGAAATTAACATCATATGAACACAGAATGGAAAATACTCCTCCAAAGAGGGAGATGAAGGCTGACCACCCATAGGACAAAGCTACCTTCCGGCGATAGAGACGCGGGGCCCAGGGTCACAGTTTGGTTTCTATGGGCGGGAGAAGGCTGTCTATGCGCGCGCGTCTGCAGGTGCAGGTGCAGGTGCAGGTGCAGGTGTGTCCACAGGTGCAGGTGCAGGTGCAGGCGCAGGCGCAGGCGCAGGCACAGGTGCAGGCGCAGGCGCAGGCGCAGGAGCAGGTGCAGGTGCAGGTGCATCCGCAGGTGCAGGTGCATCCGCAGGTGCAGGCGCAGGTGTGCCCACAGGTGTAGGTGCAGGTGCCCCCTCAGGCGCCAGGTGCGGGGCGAGGAGGCTCAGGAATGTCTCCAGCTGCTGGCGCGACCTGTACGCGATGAGTCCCCCCCTGTTGGCCCAGCGATCCACGCCACTGGCGCCTTCATTGCCCACGTGGTACAGCAGCTGCGGCCACTCCGGGCCCGCGGCGGGGCCCCTGGCCAGGCAGCCCTGGAAGTCCACCATGCCGCCGCCCATGGCGCGCAGGATGGCGTGGGGCGCGCACGAGTCCCACTTGAAGGTGGTGTCGTAGGAGAAGACGTACAGGTCCACGAGGCCCTGGACCACGCACAGGCCCTTGTACCCGGCCCCCGCGGCGCGGAACACGCGGCCCCCGCAGACGCGCGCCAGCGCCGCCCGGACCGGCTCCTGTTCGCTGGCGCTGATGACCGCGGAGAACCGGTGGGCGCCCTGGGCCTGGGAGCCCGTGTCCGCGGCCTCGGCACCGGGGTGGCCAGTCCGCCCGCTCTGCGGCTCGGAGACCGGGGGCAGCAGGGAGTGGATGTTGGTGCCCATGTAGGAGAGGCCCCAGTAGCGCCGTCCTTCCCACCTGCGGGAGAGAGGTTCCGTGAGTGCAGGCGCAGATCCCATTCGCTTTTTGAATTGGTAAATGTGTTTGTATTGATCTCAGAGAGGGAGGGAGAGGGAGGGAGAGAGAAACGGCCATGATGAGAGAGAGCATCTTGGGCCGGCTGCCTCCTGCCCGCCCTCCACTGGGGATGAGCCCACAACCTGGCATGCGCCCCGACCAGGACCGAACCCTGACCTCCTGGTTCACAGGGCCACGCTCAACCACTGAGCCACGCAGGCCGGGCTCACATTTGCTTTTAGTATTCGTGTTGCCTTCAACCCCACGATGTGAGAAAAGTATATTTAATGTAACGAGTCTCCGTGCCTTCAGCCCAGAAACAGACACCACGCGGCTCATTCATCTCTGAAAGTCACCTCTCCGCCCAGCTGCCTGCGCCGCTGCCGATGGGGGGGCTCTGTTCCGGGCATCAGCACAGCGACCCGGGCGACGCTAACGTATCTGTGGGGCGCGGGGTCTCTAGGAACACCGCGTGGGCATCTCAAGTTTAAGAGGGAAAGACGAACGAACAGGCTGTCTGTCTTTCCATCTGCATCTCGTTTATGATCCTTCCCTTGGAAACTCCTTCTCATTGTTTTACCCTCTTCTCTGGCTTATTCGAAAGCTCACCTCGACTTTTACGCCAAGAAAGATGGACGCGTTATTTCTGGCAACAGAAACAATCACAGCACCTGTCCTTCCTCGATGTGTGAGCCCTGTCTGCTGGGTGCCCTACGCCGTCCGCACTGTCCATGCCACTAACTGCTTGGGAAACACGTCTAGGCCGGGGTTACGCCTGCACCAGGCCCAGCGCCTTTTCATTTCGTTATGACCTTGTAACGAGAACACATTTCGAGTGGAGGAAGGCAGGGGTAGAGGGGAAATGACAAAGTCCCAGAGGTGTAGTTCATGGCCATTACAGCGCTAACAATTCTTAGTTGCCCAAGCAACTCAAAGCTCAAGAAAGAATGTGTAGTCCTGCACTAACAAACAGTCTGACCTACTTCAGTGCGGACACTGAACTGCCCGGCTAGTGTGGCTCAGTGGCTGAGCGTGGACCTGTGAACCAGGAGGTCAGGGTTCGATTCCCGTCAGGGCACAGGCCTGGGTTGCAGGCTCCATCCCCAGTGTGGGGCGGGCAGGAGGCAGCTGATCGGTGATTCTCATCATTGATGTTTCTCTCTCTCTCTCCCTCTCCCTTCCTCTCTCTGAAATCAATAAAAATAGATTTTAAAAGAAAACACAAATCAAAACTGAACCCCCAGGAGAAAAGCGGTTTGCTTCCCCCTGGATCCTGCTGTGCCCTGGAGTCGACCCCAAAGCACAGGCCAATTGGAGGCGCCACCCCCCCCCCAACTCTGTGCAGGAGTCGGGGGAGGGTGGAGAGCGAGGCGGCCCTCACATTTATAGGGACAGCACCCCAGAGGCAGGTTCTAATCCTGGCCGTAACTACTCATCTTTCCCTTGGATAATTTTCCCATTTTGGTTTTGAATTTCTTCTAAAATTGTGTACCAGTTCAACCGGCTGCATGACCACAGCGCCTATCTCATTCCGAACGTGTGAGGAGCAGGGGTGGCTCCTCTTATCAATCTGGTTTTGAAAGGATTCGAGGAATAGGGAACAGGACTGCTTTCTTCCAAATGCAGAAGAACTCCACCAACATGCCGTTTCTGTTCAAAGCTTCTATCAGCCCCCAGTCAAACTGGGCCAATAAAATTAGGCCAAATAAAAGAACGTGAACTCAAACATGCAGACTTCTAGCAGGAACGGCCCAGTATCTCGCGTCCTGGGAATGCCACACGGAGTGACCATCTTGACAAAAAGCAAAGCTAAGGTTGCAAATTCTGCAAACCGTGATGCACCCCAAGTGCCCCTCCTACCTGAGGGTGTCGGGGTCCTGCGACACGAAAGGCTGGTTGATGACCCCCATCAGGGGCAGCCCGGTCTGCAGGTCATAGACGCCGATGAGGATGGTGACGCACGGGAGCCCCCGGGGGAAGACTCCGTGGCTGGGCTCCACGTCGGCAGAGCCTTGGATGTACTGATGCGTGGAATCTGAAAGGCAAGCGTGCTCGTTTGGGTTCAGGCCCCGATTATGGAGAAAATGAGGATGAATGCATCGGTGAACTCTGTCCTACAGCATTTCTTTCTTCTCATTTAATAACTGCGACCGTCTGAATGTTTGTGCCCGCCTCCCCCCGCCCCCCCAATTCTAACCCTCAAAAGAGACCAGTTGGCATGGCTCAGTGGTTGAGCGTCAACCTATGAACCAGGAGGTCAGGGCTCAATTCCCGGTCAGGGCACATGCCCGGGCTGTGGGCTCGATCCTCAGTGTGGGGTGTGCAGGAGGCAGCCGATCCATGATTCTCTCTCATCACTGATGTTTCTCTCTCTTTCTCTCACTCCCTTCCTCTCTGAAATCAATACAAATATATTGGGAAGAAAAAAAAAGACACACACACACACATACACACACACAAAACAACAACAATGAGCTGCAGATTTTGGTTCTATCACAGTCGTGACCCAAAGAAATACTAAGGGGTGAAGCTTCCGCAGGCCCTCCATGCTGCCCGCTCAGGACTCCTCCCTAGCAGGGCTTTGCTTGCCCTGTACCGGGGGTTCACTGCTCGTTTCGTTGAATTAGCAGGAAGTGGTGGGACAGGGAGAGATCTCGCCGAAACCGGGTTTGTGTTTCCCTCTGAGACGCCGAGGACCTGGCGGGTGGCGCCACATGGCACGCGCCCCGCTGGAGCCGTGTGCCCCGTGACTGGCCTGTGTGCCCGGCGACGTGTAGCTGCTCTCACTCGTTCTTCCCTCATATTTACAGTCTGGACCCTGGCGTCCTTCAGAGACGAGTGAACTCAGCTCTGCACGTGTGCCCGCGTGTGTGTGCATGCCCCCACACAGATCCACAAGCACGCACGCATGTCTGTTACAGGTGACGATGCACACCTGTTTCTAACAACATGTCCTAACACAGACCCGACTCTTCTTGATCCCTTTCAAACTGTAAAACTGCTTAAACTTCCAGGAGAATTAAACTACACTCAATTGGTATTTTTCTAAGCCCCCTGCCCCCACAAAAACACACACACACACACACAAACCAAAAAAAACAACCAATGACCAATAAGAACAAACGGACAAAAGCAAACCCTCCACTGACCTATGGGATCCACCCAGATTCCCAAAGTGTCGAGCGGAATGGTGACCTGGACTGAATCCAGGGCCGGGTCGGCGAAGGCGGCGTCCTCGTGAACGACCTTGGCCAGCGCCCGGGCCGCCAGCTGGTTCCCGTTCAGGACTTTGCTCAGGAGCTCCGCCGTCTCCCCCTCCGTCGGGCACAGTCGCAAGACGATCATTTCTCCTGGTGGGAAGACACACACAGAGTCTCGGCATCTCAAGAGAGTCGGGGGGAAGGACCACAGAGGGGTGGGGGAGCCAGGCTGCGCGCCGTATGCGGTGAGGGACACAGACCCGTATCCGTGGTCCCGGACCTGGCCCCCGGCCAGAATGGCACGAGGTCCACGGATGGGTTTGGAGTTTGAACCTTGGACCTGAGATGGTCTGCCCAGTTGTGAGGAAGCACATCTTTCTGGGGCATCTGTCACTTCCATTAGATTCCCAAAGGACCACTCAACTTTCCAAAAGGTTAAGTCAAGCCCTGGCCAGTGTGGTTCAGTGGATAGAGCGTCGGCCTGCGGACTGAAGGGTCCCAGGTCGAGGGCACATGCCCGGGTTTCGGGCTCGATCCCCAGTAGGGGGCGTGCAGGAGGCAGCCAATCACTGATTCTCTCTCATCATTGATGTTTCTATTTCCCTTTCCCTTCCTCTCTGAAATCAAGATATATTAAAAAAAAAAAAGGTTAAGTCATCCATTATTTAAATGCCACAGATTTACGTCTAAGATACCACATTTCCCTAAGTTAAATGGCCTGAAGTTCTGAGTGAAGCTTAACATTTGAATATATTGTCTTTTACATGAAAGCCTCCCAAACATCCACTTAAGATGTAAGCTGGAAATTAGAACAGGATATGATCACTGGAAGTTACAACACCACATTAGGATTTGTATACTTACCCAGAGCATTAGTAAACTCGTTGGATTCTTCTCCAAAAATTTTGTCCTCCAAGCCTGGAAACTGAAGAATGCAGGGTATGACAACAAACCAAAGCAAGAACAATAATAATTAAAAAAAAAAAAACACACACACATATGTTCAATTCTGAACAGGTTTCCATTTTCTATTTCAAATTAAATAGCACAACTAGATCTGAAATTCAGAAATGTACAACCCCAGACAGCGTAACACCGTGAAGTCAGCGTGGCTCAGGACTTAACTTTGGGAGACTTTCCTGCTCCTCTGCCCTTATAAAAAGTGCAAGTCATGGAGAAGTCTGGCTTCCTGCTGTCCTGGTGAGTTTGCAGAAGTATTTCTAGAAACTTCATCTATCTCCTTAAGGACCATAGGATTAGAATGCTTTCAAAGGAAATATTTTAACTCTTGCTCTTAAGCAGCACCCTCGTCGCTTATATAAGTTAACGTTATTGATCAAGTACTGCAGATTTCACTTGAGCCTGGATAGAAGGGGTTAGAACAGCGGTTCTCAACCTGTGGGTCGCGACCCCTTTGGGGGTCGAACGACCCTTTCATAGGGGTCGCCTAGGACCATCGGAAAACACATACATAATTACATATTGTTTTTGTGATTCATCACTATGCTTTAATTATGTTCAATTTGTAACAATGAAATTGGGGGTCACCACAACATGAGGAATGTATTAAAGGGTCGTGGCATTAGGGAGGTTGAGAACCACTGGGTTAGAAGATAACATTACATTTTTTTTTCCCAAGTGTTTTCTGCACCTGTTGGAGGTCTCGTTCACCTTCAGGGTAGGAAGGTGATACAGCCAAACAAGGGAAATATTTTATAAACCAGTAATTTATGCATCAATATAGAATTTTAAAAAAAAATAGAGCTGCCCTGGCTGGTTTGGCTTGTGGATAGAGCGTCAGCCTGTGGACTGAAGGGTCCTGGGTTCGATGCCAGTCAAGGGCACATACCTGGGTTGCAGGCTCAATCCCCAGTAGGGGGCATGCAGGAGGCAGCTGACTGATGATTCTCATCATGGATGTTTCTCTCGCTCTCTCCCTCTCCCTTCCTCTCTGAAATCAATAAAAAAAATTTTTGTAAAAATAGAGCTAAGTAAGAATCTTCTCTCATCTTTGTAGGAAATGAAGCTTTCAGATACATTTTGCTTCTCCAGTAAAGATACGTTTCCCTCAACATATGTGCTGAATTCTGTTCTGTGTGATGTTCTCAGGGAACGAAGGCAAGGAAATGCTTCAGATATGTGCCCTCAGCCATTCGCAGGCGGCCAATAGGTTAATAACGCCCACCACCGCTTGGCATCCAATTCCGAAGAACAGGGTGCGCCAGCCAGGGCCGGGGCCCAGCGCCCCGCCTGCTTAAAGCCTGTTTCTGAGGCTGCGGGGAGTGAGTCAGGAAACACAGATATTTCTTCTCGCCAAAGGTGAGCCTCACTTATCCGTCCCCAAGTCCCGGCATCTACCTCCTCCGTGAACCCAGCCTGGACTTGTTATAATGCTGTGGGCAAACATTAACTCATCAAATTTAATGTCGGTACATTGCTAATCCAGTTGCAACCAACTATCTCGATCGGGATCAGAAATGAACTTGCTCCATTTAGCGCACTGGGGCAGGTATCACAGGGCACGGAGAAGTGCAGCTTGTAGAGCAGTGGTTCTCAACCTCCTGGCCCTTTAAATACATTCCTCATGTGGTGACCCAACCATAAAATTATTTTCGTTGCTACTTCATCACTGTCGTGTTGCTACTGTGATGAACCGGCATGTAAATATCTGATATGCAGGATGGTCTTAGGCGACCCCTGTCGTTCGACCGCCAAAGGGGTCGCGAGCCACAGGTTGAGAACCACTGTTAGAGGTTTCAAAGGGTTGTTGATTCTTCCTTCCTGTGGTCAGGAATTCACTTAAATGATTCTTTTGTTTTTAATGTTTTTATTGATTTTTAGAGAGAGGGGAAGGGAGAGGGAGAGAGAGATAGGAACATCAATGATGAGAGAGTGAAATGATTCTTATTGATTCCTATATTTTGAGCATTTCATAGAGAACTATTCCAGTACTTTACAGTGCCTTCTCTCATAAAGGTCTGTCCTCCTGAATATGTAATTATTAGATCATACAGAAGGCCACACAGCGATGCAAAGAGCACAGACTCTGCAGCCAGGTGGCCTGTGCTCAAAACTGGCCCGGCCATTCGCTTGCTGTGTTACCTTAGGCAAGCGACTTAACCTCTCTGTGCCAGTCTTTCCTCACCCACTCCCCGGGATTACTAGTTCTTCATAAAATTGCTATAAGAGTTGAAAAGTTAAGTAAGCCTTTAGAGCAGTGTCTGGCATGCAATAAGCATTTATAAGTGTCTGTTAGTGTCGTTATTATTACTATTTATGAATACAGTCCCCCCCCAATCAGTTTAAAATAACTAGAATCACAATCATTGATAGTTATAAACAATATTTTTCTACTAGAATAAAGGGGGACTGTAAGTCTCCAGAACTCTACAGGCATTAGATACACGATTATGTCAGAAAGTGAGACTTAATAAATGAAACCATTTTTTAAAGTTACCAAATAGTATTTTCTCATTTCTATTGAAATAAATGATATGTGCCATGCACACACCTACACATAGAAGGAAAACATTCTAACAACACGTAGCCAAACACAGCTGTGGTTTTCTCTAGTCGGGGGATGATATTTGCTTATTTTCCAGAGAACGCGTACTACTTATTCAAAAAGAAAATAAGTGAGAAGGTCTATTCCAGCGGTTCTCAACCTGTGGGTCGCCAACCTGTGGGTCGAGACCCCTTTGGGGGTCGAACGACCCTTTCACAGGGGTCGCCTAAGACCATCGGAAAACACATATAATTACATATTGTTTTTGTGATTAATCACTATGCTTTCATTATGTTCAATTTGTAACAATGAAAATACATCCTGCATATCAGATATTTACATGACGATTCATAACAGTAGCAACATTACAGTTATGAAGTAGCAACAAAAATAATTTTCTGGTTGGGTCACAACATGAGGAACTGTATGAAAGGGTCGCGGCATTAGGAAGGTTGAGAACCACTGGTCTATACCAACATGTTCCTCTCTAGCTCTGAGAAGGGTGATTTTTATTTCCTTATTTGTTTTCCTGTATTTTCAAACTGTTCTGCAGTGAACATTCTAGAAATATTATAGTCAGAACAAGGGGAGTCAAGCCCACAGTTGCGTGTTTATTTGAATCCGAGGTGCTGGTCCTATGGGGAAAGGCAGGGGGAGGGAGGCTGTGCTAACAAAACCACAGCCACCGGCAGGCACCCTGCGGTCCAGGCCGTGGCCGCGGCCTCGCCTACCTTGCTCTCCATGTGCCGCTTTATGACTTCCTGCACCAGCACGTCGGCCAGCGTCTTGAAGTCCACGGCAAACTTCTTGTTCTTCTCGCCGTCCTTCTTCTCCTCGACGAGCAGCTGGAAGAGGGCGTCCTGCTGGCGGCAGGCGCGGGCGATGTGGGCCGCCTTCTCGGAGACGCGGAGCAGCTCCTGCAGGATCTCGGACATGGCTGGGCCCTGAGCCCCGGCCGCCCAGCCGGGTGAGGGGCGCCCACCCCGCTGGCAGCTGGAGAGACATGGATGCGAAAGAGAAAGACATGGATGCCGTCAGTCTGGCCACTGCAGGTGGGCGCCGCAGGTCCAGCTCGTGGGGAAGATCACAGAGTGAATAGGTACTAGCCCAGGAGCGCGCCTGCCACCACTGTGTGCCCCCTGCTGCCCCACCCGGAGACCAGTCATGCTGCAGCGGGGAAGACTGGACACCACCCAACGGGGGAAACTTGTTTTTGTTTGTTTATGTATATTTTATTGGTTTTTAAAGACAGGAAGGGAGAGGGAGAGAGAGAGAGAGAGAAACATGAATGATGAGAGAGAATCGTGGATGGGCTGCCTCCTGCACACTCCCCATGGGTGATGGAGCCCACAACCCGGGCATGTGCCCTGACAGGGAATCGAACCCTGACCCCCTGGTTCCTAGGTCAACACTCAACCACTGAGCCACACCAGCCGGGCGGGAACTTGGTTTTTAAATCTTTAAAAAAATACTGATAGTCTCAAAAATCCATTAGGCAAAGGATTGGCTTCCCGGTGCCAGAAGGTGTTTGAATGGGGATCTACATTCTACGTATGAACCCCCAGCAGACAGGTGAGCGCGCGGGCACGGAGCTGGAGGAAGGCCAAGTTCTCGCAGGGACTAGGATGCCCACTGCGGGATGGAAGCAGGGTTCTGGCTTTTACCCACGGGGGAGGGGGAGTTGGAGAGGATGTGTCCTACCAGTTCTGGGGCAACTTCCTAAAACACCGAGCCCCCGTGAGCACTGTGTGTCCTGCAAGACTGAGGCCACGCCCGGGCCAGCAACCAGGGCAGTCTCCCAGCTCCCCGCCCCCACCCCACCCCCAGCTAAAGAAGTCCCACTGTGTCTATCTGTGCTGCTCTTCCAGCGAGAAGGCGTTTAGAGAACACAGTGCCCTAGACCATACTCGTTGCTGGGGCTTGAGGGGTTCTGGCTTCCAGGCTGACAGGCCGTCTGCCTCGGGGTGCCCATCGCATAGCAGGACGGGCAGCTCTCCCCGCTCAGTAGGAGCCATGTTTGATCGGGAGCCTCAGCAATTGCTCTCACTACTGTGCCGACTGTGGGGGGATCGTCAGGCCGCCTTAAAGTTGAGGGAGCTGGAGCTGAGGGAGGGTTAAGTAACTGCAGGTTACACAAGGCTCACCGGCAGGCCAGGCGGGGCAGCCGTGTTCTTTGCCATCATCACAAACACTCACTGTCTCTTTTAAAAGTCCCCCCTGGCCGTCAGCTGAGGACCAAGTGAGGAGCTGTCAGGGGCGGGGGTCATGGGTAGTTGCCACAGCTGGGTTGAGTTAAACACGTTTGCTAAACAAATTTTTTAAATGCTATTTTCTTAAGAGTGTGGGTCACACCTCCCCCCCCCCCCCCCCCGAGAAATATGTCCAGCCTCAACAGTAGTAAGAGGAGAGTGAGCGGAGGCCGCGGCCGGAGCTGCCTGTGAAGCTCACGTCCTGGCAGAAGCGGCGGGAAGCAGCCGGGTCCAGAGGGAAACGCACCAGGGCCCTGGAGAGGTAGGGCCCTGCCTGGGCAGCCGGCAGCTCCAGGCCTGCCCTAAGGCGTGTGAGGAAGTCGGAGTGGAGTGAGCCTATTTCAGTGCAGGAAGGATGGCTGGTCACAGCAGCAAGTTGAAAATAACCTTAAACATTGGTGACGTGTGAGATAGACTACTACGTGGTCCTTAGACGCACGTTCTTGAAGAACAGGTCATCTGGAACTATGTCCATGCTATCGTGCTAAGAGGAAAACAGCCTAAGACTGATTCCTGGCCCTGGCCGGGCGGCGTGGGTGGTGGGAGCATCGTCCCATCCACCGGAAGGTGTTGGGTTTGATTCCCGGTCAAGGCATATCCCCAGGTTTGGGTTCGGGCCCTGGCCCAGGTGCACGGAGCACACACCTAGCAGCTGTTGCTAGTCTGGCTACTGGAACTCGCTACTTGACACCTGACTCCTTTGTCCTCCCAGGAAAACCTTTCCCAGCGGATCCTGGGCCTCACTGCAGACCTACTGACCTCTCTCTCTCTCTCTCTCTCTCTCTCTCTCTCTCTCTCTCTCTCTCTCGCTGTGGGGCCTCCAGGCAAGGGAGGGCTCAGCTCTGCCAAGTCCCCAGTTCCCTTCCATCGCTCCTCGGGCTGCCCAACACAATGCCACCACCGGGTAAACACCAGGATCTGCGTCTCACGGATCTGGAGGCCGGAGGTCCGGGACCAAGGCGCTGGGGGGCTGGTGTCTCCTGAGCCTTTCGCCGGGGCTTGGCCACCTTCTCGCCGTGGCCTCTCCGCGCTGCGCTCACAGCCCTGGTGTGTCTCCTCTGCTTATAAAGACACCAGGCGGGGGATCAGGGCTCACTCACGTGGCCCCACTTAACGAGTTGCTTCCCAAAGGCCCTGTCTCCACACTCAGCCGCCTTCTGAAGTTCTGGGCTCGGGGCTTCCCCAGACGAACTCTAGGGGAACACACTTCTCCTGACCCAGAGGCCTGAGAACCTTCCCAAGCCAGCACAGCCGCTCCTCTGGCCAGGCAGTGAGCTCGGCAGGGTTCTCCTCCCCGAGTAGGTGGTCAGTAAGTCTAATTCCGTGAGGCGGCCTTCCCCACATGGAACTACTCGCTCTAGCAGCCAAGTCGTCACTGATGCAGCAAACACCGAGTCACCTCCTGTCAGCCTTACTTTGTGGCAACCTCTTTCAAATCGGCTCTGAGCAGCACAGGTCGAAAGAAGTCACATCCTCCCCATCAGAGACACAAGTGCACCCGTTACAACGTCACGTAGCAGGAGTCTCCAGCTTCTGTGGGACTTCCATGTCCAGGTGGAGACATAGTCACTGAGCTGAAGTAGGTCAGTGAAAAGGGGGCGGGGAGGGGGGCCCTTAAGACTCTTCCGGAAAGCCCCATCTCTCTATACCAGTGGTTCCCAACCTTGGCTGCACATGCTAATGATTAGAATCACCTGGGAATCTTTTTAAAATCCTGATTTCTAGGCCTCATCCTCCGGAAATTCTGTTTCTTTGTTATGGGGTGAGGCCACAACATTAGTAAAAAAGAAACAGAATTTCCGGAGGATGAGGCCCAGACATCAGGATTGTAAAAAGATTCCCAGGTGATTCTAATGTGCAGCCAAGGTTGAGAACCACTGCTCTACACAGATAAAACTCTTCTAATTTCTGACCATCCTATCATCTCGCTCGAACACCAGAGGTTTACACGTCATCTCCGGATCGTTTACACGCACTTCAGGTGTGAGCAACAGCGGAGTGGGGAAGGCGTAGGCTTTGGGATCCGATAAACCTGGGTTCAAGCCCTGGCCCCGCCATCAAGGAGCTGTGTGGCACCAGGTAACTGACTTGCCCTCTCTGGGCCTCCCTCCTCACCTGTGAAACGGAGAGAATACACAGCTTGCAGAGACTCTGTGGAGGTCAAGTGAGACATTTCCGGGAAAGGATCCGCACAGAGCCTCGCCCAGAGCCCACAAGTGACAGCAGTGGCTGTGAAGCACCGAGCCCAGTCCCACGCCCTCCGTGAGGAAGCCAGAGGCCTGCAGCCGTCCGTGGTCACTGCCCGCTCTCTGGAATAGTCACTCGCCCACTAAATCCCAAAGGCTGGGCACCGCTGGTGACTCTGAGCGGCCGGAACGAAGTTCCTTGGTGCGGCCAGATCTGATTGCGCAGTTGCTGGGCGTCGGGCGGGAACTTGGCCCCGGGAGGGGTGACTCCCCGGGTGGAGGAGGCGGGCGAGGCCTCCGTGGGATCTGGAGGGCCATTGTCCTGTTGGGGGATGTTCTGTCAGGCCACGGTGTGGAGATCCTGGGGCCGGGGGTGCCCAGTGCGTGGAGAGCGGTGGGCCAGGGCCGGCCTGGCCTTCTGCGCAGGGACAGGGGCGTGAGGACGGGAGCGCCGGCGAGCAGCTCTCTCTAGGAGCAGGGAAGGGGGTCAGGCGCCCGTGGGCATCCCTCCCGCCGGAGAACCACGGCTTCTGCAGCCCACAGGCCGCCCGGATTCCAGCAGCCCCTCCACGGCTCGCCTCCTGAACCCAGCCTTCCTCCCACCTGCTAAGCCCAAGGGCCTAGGCGTGCCCTGACGCTGCTGTAGGCGGCCCTGTTGGACAGGAAGGGCCGCGCCCAGGGAACCGCTGGGTGTCTGTCTCACAAGAAGCTGTCTGTGCCCTGTCTCCGGGGCAGGTGCTGAGGGGCTGGCCCAGGGCTGGATTTAGCTCCCCCTGCCCGGGAGGGTCCGCCCAGGCCTCGGCCTCCTTCCCCGTGGCCCGATCTTAGGGCTGCTTCAGGGAGGGGGGAGGGACGGAGGCTGCCCTGGCAGGAGGGGCGGGGAGCAGGCGTGGGCACAGGTGGGATCTGTGGGGGCTCGGGCTGCTCAATTCCGTAGCGACCAGGGTTGGTGAGGTGCGACTGGCCGGCAG